ACAAAGGTATGAAGAAAATATGGAGGAACTGTTACATGTTCGGTACTAAATCACTTTCAGGGGATTGAAAGACTATTGCTGGATTTCATGATGCTGACCAGTGTTAGCTGATTAACCCACGTAAATAGGCACTCAAATAGAAGAAGGGCAGGGAGGGAAAGACTGGCTCTGGACTTCCTCCCTGGTCCCGCCGTTAACATATCACTTGTAGTGGCCAGAACAGGGTGTCAGAAGTGCAAGGCAGTACTGGCTGCCATTGCCTGGTCACATTGAAATTGTTGGTTTTATTTCAGATGTATCTTGTGCAGATGTAGCAGAAAATAGGAAAACCTACCATCTCAGTGAGCTCTAGCTGCCTCCCAAAGGAGGGGCAGCTGTGCTTATATTTTTATGGTTAGAAAGGCACAAAATTATTATCAATCTAACTAAAACATTCCTTTTCTATCTTCCTGAATTACCATGGAGTTTTTCAATTCTCTTTTGGACTATAGTTTCTTGGGCTTGTTGTTGTTGTTGTTGTTGTTGTTGTTTAACAAACGCTTTACAGTGTAAAATATTTATTTTATACCTATTCTGGAGGATTTGTCTGAAAGATTATTCGTGGAACAGGAAGTAGTGTAAGGACTATCCATATCATCTTTGTTAGAAGTCTTCATGACTGTAAGATTGTAAATACAGATTATTTATTAACTCTGTTCTACCTGGAATAAGATTTCATATGGAAAATGTTTGAGAGCAGGTAGCTGAGATTTATCAGCAAACCTCTTTAAAACTGGCACATGGAAAATCAGCACAACGAGCTGCCTTTTCACTTTGTGCTTAGAGTGAATGATTTAGAATTCTTTCTTCTTTGTTTTGTCTTTCCAAGAATTTCTGGTTGTCTGTTTGCAAGTATTTTGGATTGCTAAAAAAGCCATGAGATCCCATCTTTTGTGCCTATTTCCAGGGAGAATAAAAACATACGCCTATTTTTTTTTCATTTTTCCAAAAGAGAAAGAAATGACAAAGGTGAAACTTATATACAAATATTACCTCATTTGTTGTGTGACTGAGTAAAGAATTTTGGGATCAAGCAGAAAGAGTTTAAGTGTCTAACAAACTTAAAGCTACTGTAGTACCTAAAAAAGTCAATGTTGTACATAGTATAAAAAATTCTTTGCAGAAAAAAATATTCCCAGTAAGGAAATAGCATTGAAATGTTAAATACAATTTCTGAAAGTTGTGTTTTTTTTCTATCATCTTGTATATCATTGCTTTATTTTTATAAATTATTTTCTCATTGCCATTGGAATAGATATCTCAGATTGTGTAGATATGCTATTTAAATAATTTATCAGGAAATACTGCCCATAGAGTTAGTATTTCTATTTTTATATGTTTGCACACTGAATTGAAGAAATGTTGGTTTTGCTCTTTTCTTTGTTTTGTTTTGATTTTTGCTTTTTACTCCCCAGTTTTTACTATTTGCCAATAACTTTTTCTAGGAATGTGCTTTTTTGTACACATTTTTATCCATTTTACATTCTAAAGCAGTGTAACTTGTATATTACTGTTTCTTATGTAAAGGAACAACAATAAATCATATGGAAGTTTATATTTATACTTACTGTATCCATGTTTATTCTCTGCTGGCTTTATATTATGAGAGATGGGTAAATGCCATTCTTAAACCAATATAACTTACCCAAAATGAAATTACAGTAAACAATAGTAATATTCACAGTTCCTATATGATTTAAAAAGACTTGAGTTGTTCAAGACTAAGTTTAGAATAAATATCTGTGGAATAAAAGAACAAAATGATAAATTAGTCTACCACATAAAAACATAAAAGACAACCCTTAAGTCTTGGACCCCAAAAGGAATACAATTTCATATTATCATTAATATCATTAGGTGTCATGTATGGAATCCTTCTCAAAGTCCAGATCTATTTCTAAGAAGGACAATAAAAAAGAGGAACAGCTGTGAAGCACATGTACCTCTTGCAACTCCATTTCCTGACTCATGGATGGCGGCACTGGGTAGGCAATGTGATCACAGGTCATGGAGTAGCTTCAGATGAAAGTGTGTATGAGGGAGGAATTGTCTTTGAAAAGCTGAGCTAAGCGTTATAGATATCACCTTTTAGAGAATGATATCTTTCTTTGGTCAAAAACAAATGACTAAAGAGAAATTAAAAATTTGGAAGGAATGCATAAATGTGTGTGTAAATATAAAATTATTTTGTGAAGAGAAGACCAACATGTTAAAATAAGCAGACCTTGAGTTCTGGATGGGTTAATCATGAATGTGAAATACTGACCAATTAATTTCCAGTCTTAGTAAAAATGAATCAAAGAGGAAACTTTGTAAGTAAGATTAAAGGTCTTGCTCTGAGGTCTGTTAACCAGTAGACGGAATTGGCTAGCAAAATAAGTCTTCCTCCCTCCTTCATTTTCTCTCTTGCTCTAAAAACATGTGTCTAGGTAGAATGATCATATATAATTATAAATTGCCAATTCATTTTATAGAGCCAAGGTAAGGAAGTAGGAACTAAGAAGTGTTGGTAATAATTGTGTAATTAGGAAAACTGATCTGAAAGAAATAATTATTTGAAACATAAAACCATTTGTTCTCAGAGAAGTTCAACAAAGGAAGTCCTGGGAGAGAATTCTAATATGTAGGTAATACAGCAAAATTGACTTGAGAATACCAGGTTGAGACAGAAAAGTGGCTGGGAACAAGCTTTTCTTCAGGCATATTCCATTTCATTCCAAAATTGACCTCCAAGCCAGCAAGTTATACTTGGAATAAAGGACTTGTTAAAAAATAAAATTATGTTATTACCAAATGATAGAATTTTTTCCTCCAAAGGTAGTTTATTGTCACGTGTTTCAAGAGAGTTGTACTGAAGGGCAATAAACTTTTAAGTCCTATGAGAATTTACAATTAAGGTGGTGCCAGTAGTTTTTGTTAAAGAGTTGCATATAGAAAAATTGAACAATTTAAGTTCCTAAATTTATTCCAAAAATGAATTGGCTCTTTGTCTTCTGTACTTTTTATCTTGTTCTGGGGAAAATAGGCTTAGAAGGTATCTCAAAATTAAAATTAAAATGCTATTCTTAGTAAAAAAAATACCTTTTCTTTCTAAATCAGAAGTTTTTAAAAATTTTTTTTTAAAAAAATCTGGAGACTTTATGTTGAATTAAATTATAAAGGCAGTTTACCAGTCCTTGTTAGAGTAGACAAGCTATGGAATGGTGTCAGCTCTTTTAATGAAAAAATTCATTACTTAATATCATTCTGTTTTTCTTCCCCTCACTTACACTCCTGTAACAGGCTCACTATGCCCCCAAGTACTATTTGCAGAAGCACACTAAGGTGTCACAAGCCCTTTGCAGTACTGAACTAGAAATAGCTTCTCTGTGTTTCTCCGTTTCATTTTTTCTCTTCTCTCTTTCCTTCCCTATCTGTGCCTCTGTGTCTCTTTCTTTCTCTGGGTCTAGGTCTCAGTCTCAGTCTTGGATACATATTCTCTCTCTCTTTCTCAAACACACACACACACACACACACACACACACACACACACACACACACCCACACACCCCAAATAAAAGTATGGACTTAGAAAGCTGAGCTCCTCTAAAAAGCTCATGAGTAATGATGGCTCCTCTCTGATCCACTCCAAATTCCCATCCATGCCACCTCTGCCCTCCAACTGTTCTCACTCAAATCCTTCAACACACAGGAATGCCTCATTATTTCTATAAGAATCTAAACTCGTGGCTTTTAACTTTTGCTGGCTCGTACAGCAAAAATTTTGGCATCAAGATAAATTATACTGTAGCACACTGACATCAGTATGAATCATTGCTATTTTAAATGAACAAACAGTAAATTGAAATGGAAAGGCTGGAAAAAGAAACTGCCTATCAATACCTCTGAAAATAGTACCTATAGAATTCATTTTAAAAAGTCAAGGAAGTAGGATTCAAGCAATCATTAAAATTATCTAACATCAGTAGATGAATGTGTTCCAGTAAAAATTAACAACACTACACACATATATTACTCCAAATTTTATTAGAAGCAGCACAATATCCAGCTCATTTTTTGGCTGAAATAAATTAGATTTTTAGTTTTAATTTAATGCCAATTCAGCTTATGGGATATTCACATAAATTTTTCCAATGAATCTAGATAAATTACTTATAAAAAGACAAAACTTGAGGCTAGGGTTGTGGCTCAGTGGTAGAGTGCTCGCCTAGCAAGTGTGAGGCCCTGGGTTCAATCCTCAGCACCACATAAAAGAATAAATTAAAAAATAAAGGTAAAAAAAAAGACAAAACTTTTCTTTTAATGGTAGCATGGACTTTTGTTGCTCATCTTGCTAAATTCTCAAAGGCTCAAACTCTGAAAGAATGGAACAAACTGGAAGAATATATCAAATAACTTGTTAAACTACTTAAGAAAAGTATTATGGCTAATAAGTTACTATAAGCTCCCTTAATGTTGAGAAAATTCATTTCTTCCTGTGGCCTGATTGCCTTTTGTCTCTTTAAGGACAGAGGGTGGGGGGGAACTATGACACTAAAAGAAATGAAATAGAAATGTTTTTCTACCCTTAGTGAGAAGGTTAACAGAAAAGGCACAATTGACAACATAATCAAATAAAAAAGAAAAAGAATCAAATATAGAACAATCATCAATCATACCACTTTCACTAGTTTAACACACACCCATATGTTACAATGTTGGTTTTTATAACTGTGTCCCTGATGTTGCAAGATTAGCAACATACTTACAAATTTCCCATAAATTTCAATGAAGAAAAATCATTGAACAATTCTACCCCAAGTCTCAAAAAATAGCAAGGAAATGTAATTTACAAAGCAAGAAGGTTTTTAGTTTTTATTTATTTGTTTGTTTGTTTGTTTGTTCTCTTTGGTGCTGGGGATTGAACCCAGGATCCTGTGCTTTCGAGACAAACACTCTACCAACTGAGCTATACCCCCAGCCCCAATGTCAAAATCATTATTTAAGAAATAGTCTCTATAATACATTCATTAAATTCAAAGAATTCAGAAAGAAATAGACTTTAACTTCATTATCAACTTTCTTCAGAGCACATCCCAGGAGGTCCTTGCTTAAGATTCTTCACATTCTTCCACTACATCTTCAGTCTCCTGTTCATCTACATATAAAAATAACAACCAAAGTCATTAGATAATCAGAAATGTGTCCATAATTAAGGCAAATAATTGAGCCTATTAAATATTAAATCCTTTAACATATAATACATCCACAAGTTGTGTATAAAGCTTAAAAGTAAGATCAAAAGATAAGGTGTTTGTCTTCATTGAGCTTACTTCTCAGAACTTTTTGGGTTTTGAAAGCTGAAATGATTATGGATTTAGAGATAGACAAAAAAATTAATTTTTTGCTTTCTATTAAGCTTCCAGGAAATAGGGTAAAGTGAATGCTATATGTAGGGTAGATAAGAAATAACTGACTTTGTCTCTTCAAAAACAGAAATAAATCGTGACACTAACAGAAGTGGAATGGAAATGTTTTTCTACCCTAAGGTGAGAAGGTTAACAGAAAAGACAGAATTGATAACAGAATTAAATAAAGGAAGATAGTAAGAATCACAAAAGACTTGTGGAAAATAATATGTCATAGTAGTTCTGGAAAAGAGTCTGGCTTTTCCTCAAAAGGTTATGATAGACCTGGTGATTCTACTCCTAGGTATATGCCCAAGAGAAATGAAAATATGCATTCACACAAAAACTTGTTCACAGGTATTCACATCAGCATTTTATATATATATATATATATATATATATATATATAATGTTATAATATACATATATATATATATATAAACCAAAAAGTAGAAACAACTCAAGTGTCCATCAAGTATTAAAGTGATAAATAAAATATGGACTATCCATACAATGGAATATTATTTAACAATAAAAAGAATGAAGTATTAGCATACTGCAACATGGATAAACCTTGAAAACATTATGTTAAGCATAAAAGGCCAGTAGCAAAAGGAGACATATTACAAATGGGCCAAGGACGTGAACAGACACTTCACAGAGGAGGACATACAATCAATCAACAAGTACATGAAAAAATGCTCTCTATCTCTAGCAGTCAGAGAAATGCAAATCAAAACCACCCTAAGATACCATCTCACTCCAGTAAGATTGGCAGCCATTATGAAGTCAAACAACAATAAGTGTTGGCGAGGATGTGGGGAAAAGGGTACACTTGTACACTGCTGGTGGGACTGCAAATTGGTAAGGCCAATTTGGAAAGCAGTATGGAGATTCCTGGGAAAGCTGGAAATGGATCCACCATTTGACCCAGCTATCGCCCTCCTCGGACTATTCCCTGAGGACCTTAAAAGAGCGTACTATAGGGATACTGCCACATCAATGATCATAGCGGCACAATTCACAATAGCTAGACTGTGGAACCAACCTAGATGCCCTTCAATAGATGAATGGATAAAAAAAAAAGTGGCATCTATACACAATGGAGTACTATGCAGCAATAAAAAATGACAAAATCATAGAATTTGCAGGGAAATGGATGGCATTAGAGCAGATTATGCTAAGGGAAGCTAGCCAATCCTTAAAAAACAAATGCCAAATGTCTTCTTTGATATAAAGAGAGCAACTAAGAACAGAACAGGGAGGAAGAGCATGAGGAAAAGATTAACATTAAACAAAGACGAGTGGGGGGAGAGAAAGGGAGAGAGAAGGGAAAGCATATGGAAATGGTAGGAGACCTTCAATGATACACAAAAGTATAAGAGGTTATGATGGGCAAGGGGGAGGGGGGAAAAAGGGAGAGAATTGAACAACAGCAGAAGAGGTAGAGAGGGAAGGKGGGAGGGGAGGGGAGGGGGGATAGTAGCGGTTAGGAAAGGTAGCAGATTACAACAGTCACTAATATGCCATTAGGTAAAAATGTGAGTATGTAACCGATGTGATTCTGCTATCTGTATTTGGGGTAGAAATGGGAGTTCAAAACCCAACTGAGTCAAATGTATGAAAGATGATATATCATGAGCTTTGTAATGTTTTGAACAACCAATAAAAAAAAAGAAAAAAACAGGTGACATATTGTATGATTCCATTTATGTGAAATATTCAGGCCAGGAAAATTTATTGAGACAGAAAGTAGGATAGTGACTGCCTAGAGCTGGGGATTAGAAGAAAAAAAAAAGAATGATAATTAACGGACATAGTGTTTCTTTGAGGTGAGATAAGGAAAATTTGAAATCGAAAGCAGTAATGGATGTACAACTCTGTGATTATAGCATAAATCTTTGAATTATACACTTTAAATGGATGAATGCTTTGGTATTATTGAAGAGTGGCCCCACAAAAACTATGTCCTCATTCTTCTTAGGCCCTGGATTTGTGAATTTTATCTTATTTTGGAAAAAGTTCATTTTCTAAAATGAGGCCAAATTAAAGGATCCTGAGATTAGGAGATCATCCTGAATTATCGGGGTAGGCCCTAAATTCAGTGAGAAGTATTTTTTAAAGAAAAAAGCTGAGGGAAATTAAGAAACCCAGAAAGGAAGGCAATGTGAAGAGAGAAGAAAAGACTGCAGTGATGTGATCAGAAAGTGAGAAAGCCAAAGAACACTGACAGCCATGAGAAACTGGGAAAAGCAAGTAAGAAGCATCCTCCTCTACCGCCTCCAGGCAGAGTGTACGTAGTCTTGGTGACTCCTTGATTTCGGACTTCTGACCTCCAAAACTATGAGAATAAATTTCTGTTTTGGCAATCTGTTACAGCAACCATAAGAAACTAATACAGGTATATAAATTTAATCTCAAAACTATTATTTAAAAATTCAAAAAAAATCAGTTGAATAATTAAGTCCAGATGATTTGAAGCTTCCAAGAAAAGTGAGAAACTTAATGATATTGTCAGTCCCTCTGTAATGATGCCTATGGACTTTGTTCTGAAGGTCTTATATGCTTGTCCCACTCCACTGTAATTATCTATGAAAGTGCCTCTTTTCATCAATAGACTATGAAAATACTTCAGAGCAGTGATTATGTCCTACTTATTTTGTATTTTGGAACAATGGTCCTCAATTGGGGAAAATTTTGTCCCCCAGTTAACATTTGGTGATGTCTGGAAATACTTTTGTTTGTCAGAACTTCATAGTACACTACTGGCATCTATTGAGTAGAAGCGGAGATTCTGTTAAATATCCTACAATGCACAGAAAAGTTGCCTACAACAAAGAACGTCCAGTCCAAAAATGTCAACAGTATAAGGTTGAAAACCCCTTCCTAGAACATAGTAAACCAGGTAAAACACAGTCACCAAGAGCATCTAAGAAGCAATTAATAGGGCTGGGGATGTGGCTCAAGCGGTAGCGCGCTCGTCTGGTGTTCGTGCGGCCCGGGTTCGATCCTCAGCACCACATACAAACAACGATGTTGTGTCTGCCAATAACTAAAAAATAAACATTAAAAAATTCTCTCTCTCTCTCCCTCCCTCTATCACTCTCTCTTTAAAAAAAAAAAAAAAAAAAAAAAAAAAAAAAGAAGCAATTAATAGAACCTGTAAAAGTAATTTAACAAATAAATAGGTCTGACTGAGGACAAACTGAGAAAAAGAGAAATCCATGAAGACAATGATGAATTAAGGACTTCACTTGGAGCAAACCAAAATATTCTTTTTTATGTAAGTTTTTTTATTTATATATGACAGCAGAATGCATTACAATTCTTATTATATAGAGAGAGCAAAATTTTTCATATCTCTGGTTGTATACATAGTATATTCACACCAATTCGTGTCTTCATACATGTACTTTGAATAGCAATGATCAATACATTCCACCATCATTAATTACCCCATACCCCCCCTCCCTTCCCTTCTAACCCCTCTGCCCTATCTAGAGTTCCTCTATTCCTCCCATGCTCCTGCTCCCTATCCCACTATGAATCAGCCTCCTTATATTTAAAAAAAAAAAAAGATTGGCATTTGTTTTTTGGAGATTGGATAACTTCACTTAGCATTTATCTTCTCTAACTCCATCCATTTACCTGCAAATGCCATGATTTTAATCTCTTTCATTGCTGAGTAAATATTCCATTGTGTATATATGCCACATTTTTTTAGTCATTCATCTATTGAAGGGCATCTAGGTTGGTTCCACAGTTTAGCTATTGTGAATTGTGCTGCTATAAACATTGATGTACTGTGTCCCTGTAGTATGCTGTTTTTAAATCCTTTGGGTATAGACTGAGGAGAGGGACAGTTGGGTTAAATGGTGGTTCCATTCCCAATTTTCCAAGGAATCTCCATACTGCTTTCCATATTGGCTGCACCAATTTGCAGTCCCACCAGCAGTGTATGAGTGTACTATTTTCCCCACATCCTCGCCAACACTTATTGTTGTTTGTCTTCATAATAGCTGCCATTCTGACTAGAATGAGATGAAACCTTAGAGTGGTTCTGATTTGCATTTCTCTAATTGCTAGTGATGATGAACATTTTTTCATGTATTTGTTAATTGATTGTTGATCATCCTCTGAGAAGTGTCTCTTCAGGGTCTTTGGCCCATCTATTGATTGGGCTATTTATTTTTTGGTGTTTAGCTTTTTGAATTATTTATATATCCTAGTGATTAGTGCTCTATCTGATGTGTAAGGAGTAAAGATTTGCTCCCAAGATATAGGCTCTCTATTCACCTCACAGACTGTTTCTTTTGTTGAGAAGAAGCCTTTTAGTTTGAGTCCATCCCATTTATTGATTCTTGATTTTAATCCTTGTGCCAAAGGAGTCTTATTAAGGAAGTTGGGGCCTAATTCCACATGGTGGAGATTAGGGCCTACTTTTTTTCTATTAGAAAAAGTAGGGTCTCTGTTTTTATTCTTAAGTCCTTGATCCATTTTGAGTTGAGTTTTGTGCATGGTAAGAGATAGGGGTTAAATTTCATTTTGTTGCATATGGATTTCCAGTTTTCCCAGCACCATTTGTTGATGATGCTATCTTTTCTCCAATGCATATTCTTGGCATCTTTGTCTAATATAAGATAATTGTAGTTTCATGGGTTAGTCTTTGTGTCCTCTATTCTGTACCATTGGTCTACCAGTCTGTTTTGGTGCCAATATCATGCTGTTTTTGTTACTATTGCTTTGTAGTATAGTTTAAGGTCTGGTATAGTGATGCCACCTGCTTCACACTTCCTGCTAAGGATTGCTTTAGCTATTCCGGGTCTCTTATTTTTCCAGTTGAATTTCATGATTGCTTTTTCTATTTCTATGAGAATGTTATTGGAATTTTTATCAGAATTATATTAAATCTGTATAGGTTTTTGGAAGTATGGTCATTTTGCTAATATTAATTCTGCCTATCTAAGAGCAAGGTAGATCTTTCTATCTTCTAAGGTCCTCTTTGACTTCTTTCTTTAGGGTTCTGTAATTTTCATTACATAGATCTTTTACCTCTTTTTTTAGTTGATTCCCATTTATTTTATTTTTATTTATTTTATTTTATTTTTTTAGCCTATTGAGAATGGGATAGTTTTCTTCATTTCTCTTTCTGAGGATTTGTCACTGATACACAGAAATGTCTTTGATTTATGGGTGTTGGTTTTATATCTTGCTACTTTGATGAATTCATTTACTAGTTCTAGGAATTTTCTGGTGGAACTTTTAGGGTCTTCCAGGTATAGAATCATATCAGCAAATAGAGCCAATTTGAATTCTTCTTTTCCTATGTATATCCCTTTAAATTCTTTTGCCCGTCTAATTGCTCTGGCCAGTGTTTCAAGAACTATTTTAAATAGAAGTGGTGAAAGAGGGCATCCTTGTCTTGTTCCAGGTTTTAGAGGGAATGCCTTCAATTTTTTTCTCCATTTAGAATGACATTGGCCTGGGGCTTAGCATAGACACCCTTTATCATGTTGAGATATGTTCCTGTTATCCCAAGTTTTTCTAGTGTTTTGAACATAAAGTGGTGCTGTATTTTGTCAAGTACTTTTTCAGCATCTATTGAGATGATCATATGATTCTTATCTTTAAGTCTATTGATGTGATTAATTACATTTATTGATTTCCATATGTTGAAACAACCTTGCATCCCTGGGTTGAATACAACTTGATTGTGGTGCATGATCTTTTTGGTATGTTTTTGTATTCAATTTACCAGAATTTAATGAGAATTTTTGCATCTATATTCACTAGAGATATTAGTCTGAAGTTTTCTTTTTTTTTCTTTTTTTTTTTGATGTGTCTTTGCCTGGGTTTGGAATCAGGGTGATATTGACCCCATAGAATGAGTTTGGAAGTGCTGACTCTTTTTCTATTTCCTGAAATAAATTGAAGAGTATTGGTATTAGTTCTTCTTTAAAGGTCTTGTAGAACTCAGCTGTGTATCCATCCGGTTCTGGGCTTTTCTTGGTTGGTAGACTTTTGATGGCATCTGCTATTTCATCACTTGAAATTGAGCTGTTCAAATTGTGTATATCATCCTGATTCAATTTGGGCAAATTATATGACTCTAGAAATTTGTCAATGCCTTCATTATTTTCTATTTTATTGGAGTACAAGTTTTCAAAATAATTTTTAATTATCTTCTGTATTTCTGTAGTGTCTGTTGTGATATTTCCTTTTTTAAAAAAACGTATGTTAGTGATTTGAGTTTTCTCTCTCCTACTCTTCCTAGTCCATGTGAGTGGTATGATTTTCCCCTACCCTTCACCTTCAGTCTGTGAATATCTTTTTCTATGAGATGTGTCTCTTGTAGGAAGCATAGCAGCATAGTGTTCGGTTTTTTGGCTATTTGTTTGTTTGATCCAATCTGCTAGTCTATGTCTTTTGATTGATGAGTTTAGGACATTAACATTCAGGGTTATTATTGAGACATGATTTGTATTCCCAGCCATTTTTGTTTATTTTTGGTATTTAATGTGACTTGGTTTTGCCTCTGATTAGATTTTCCTTTAGTGTAATCCCTCCCTCTGCTGATTTTTGTCATTGTTTTTCATTTCCTCTTCTTGGAATATTTTGCCCAGGATGTTCTGTAGTGCAGGCTTTCTAGTTTTAAATTCTTTTAACTTTCATTTATCATGGAAGGTTTTTATTTCATCATCAAATCTAAAGTTTAGTTTTTCTGGATATAAGATTCTTGGTTGGCATCCATTTTCTTTCAGAGCATTGTATATGTTGTTCCACGATCTCCTGGCTTTGAGGGTCTGGATTGAAAAATCTGCTGAGGTACGAACTGGTCTCCCCCTATATGTGATCTGATTCCTCTCTCTTGCAGCGTTTAAGATTCTATCCTTATTCTGTATGCTAGACACTTTCATTATAATGTGCCTTGGTGTAGATCTGTTGAAATTTTGTACATTAGATGTCCTGTAAGCCTCTTGTATTTGGTTTTCCAATTCATTCTTCATGCTTGGGAAATTTTCTGATATTATCTCATTGAAGAGATTGTGCATTCCTTTGGTTTGAAACTCTGTGCCTTCTTCTATCCTGATTACTCTTAGATTTGGTCTTTTGATGCTGTCCCATAATTCTTGGATGTTCTGTTCATGGTTTCTAACTTTCTTCACTGTGTGATCAACTTTATTTTCTAGATTGTATACTTTGTCTTCATTATCTGATGTTCTTTTTTCCAAGTGATCTAGTCTGTTGGTTATGCTTTCTATTGAGTTTTTTTATTTGATGTATTGTAGCCTTCATTTCAAGGATTTCTGACTTTTTTTTCCAGTTTCTCTCTCTCTCTCTCTTGAAGTAATCTTTTGCTACCTTATTTGCTCTCTTATCACATTGTTGGAGTGATCAATTTTTGCTTGTATTTTCTAACTTAGGTGATTCACAGATCATTTTAATTATGAACATTCTGAACTCCTTCTCTGACATTTCATCAACTTCACTACCCATAGGTTCTGTTGTTATAGTGTCCTGGTTTGTTTGGGGCACTTTCCTCCCTTATTTTTTTTTTCATGTTGTCTATCTGTCTTCCTTTCTTGCAGTGTGTATCTGAGATATTACAGTTTCTTCCCTATATTCTTGTAGTACCTGTGCAGATTGTCTGTAACTCACCTTGATGTTGGGCTTCCAGACCCTGCTGGTATCCCTCAATGGATGCTACTGCATCCTGTGTCTGGGACCTAAGTAAGTTGGAGTGGGTGGATCTGAGCTGCTAGGCTTGACCTCCCATGGTAGTCTGCTGGTAGGAAGGGGCAGTCTTGTGCCAAAGGCTAGGCTCTGGCAGTGTCTGCTTTGCCAGGGGAGGGATGAACCGGGCAAAATCCTGGATCCTGCATGGGTTGTTGTGAGCCATCTGGGCTGGATCTCAGCTCTCAGGGTAGTACACTGGTCAGAAGGGGCAGTCCTGCACCAGAGGCTAGGCTCTAGTGGGTGTCTGCCCCACCAAGAAAGGTGTGGACCCAGCCCGCTGTGTGCCTGGACCCTGCAGAGGCTGATGTGGGTGGATCCAAAATATTCATTTAATGGAAAAAAATTAGCTAATAGTGTCACTATTTCTAAAAATCCCATGGCTCCACTGCAAAGCAATAAGACAACATTATGACAAACAAAAGCTTCCCAAACACTCTAGTTCCTTTGAACTGTTTAGTGGAATAATGACATACACCAGCACATACCCCTTTCAAACCACTGCAGTTCACTTCCCAAAATCAATCCACCACAACCAGGTTTCATCAATACAGTTACAATCAAGTGGATGAAACTTCAATATTAAGTACACTCAAATTGTACAATTGTCATTATTGGTAGAACTGGTTCTATCTGAGGACCACAATAAGATAACATAATTAGCTTCCTTTCACTAAACTGAAACACATATTTCTCAAGTGCACCCAGTGAAATCCTGTCACCACATTAATTGACAGCTAGAAACTCTTATTTCAGTTAAGCCTGGAGAGGGTCTTGGACATGGGTATCAAAATAAACAAGCAGAGACTCCTCAGATGATCCCAATGTGCTCCTTTGTTATAAGTAACACTCTGTGATATATAACACATGTTCTCTACGTCTCACCTGTTGTTGGTTTCCCAGGAAAACTCAGTTTCAGATGTTGGTCTTCTGATGAAAGGCTCACATTGATACCATACAGTGGATCATCCAAGAAGGAAGGCCTTTTCAATCTCCCAATGCCAACAGTCTTTGACATAAAGTAGTCTTCTGCATCACTAATCGCCTCATTCTTGGAAAATTGGAGGCATTTCATATTCTCTGTGTCAATTACAAAAGCTTCTGATATATAATGCCCAGTCAGGGATTCTGTGAGATAGCACTGTTCAGCAACTTTACATTCTACATTCTCAAGCATATCTTCATCCTCTACCTCAGTTTTCTGGACCTCTGCTTCTGACCTATTTAGTAACTTAGAGAGGATAGATCTAGAAAGCTTGGGGAACTCTGATGTTACGTCCTCAATATCTTCATTTTCTCTGTCAGAAGAAAGCCTCATGATGGACTGTTGTTTGAATGTGCATTCATCCAGAAGACACCTCAACTGTTCCTCAGAGAGAAGTGATGTGGAATCTAACTGATAAAACAAACCAAAAGTTTTCATAATCAATTGATTGAGTAAACATGTTTATATTTGCTAAAGTTCCAATAATACAATATAAATGAAAATGCCAGGAAACCCCTTACATTATATATGCAAATAAGAAAAAAATTATTGTAAATTATTAAAAAGTGCAAAGCAGCCCTAGAGAATAACTTTAGACTCAATCATTCACACTAGAATTAGAGTGGGGTGGGGGAAGTGAAGGAAATCCTACAAAAATTAATTACTATACCACATTAATCACTAATAACCTCTCTATACATAAAAGTAACTTGAGCTTAAACGGAGACATCAGAAAAGCACCTTTGATTTTAAAAATCATCAAGCAAAGAAGTAGGCAATCACCTCTTTGATAAACAGACGGGAATATTGTCATAATCCCCAGGAGGTATTTCTCTGTCTCCACCCATTCCTCAGCATAAACCCAACCACCACCCAATTCTGTAATTGAGAAGAAAAAAAAAATCTGAGGCTAATAGAGCTTACTGCACCTGCCCCCAGTGATTCACTCTTCTGTCTGTCTACAGCGTTCCGTGGACAATACTGCTGAAGACAGAAAAGGAGGCTCTGAGCTGCGCTCCCTTCTTGAGTGGGCACAGAGTCCCAGCGCGCTGGAATGGATCCCCAATAAATCCCCTTTTGCCAATTGCATGGAGTAAGTCTCTTGTGTGTGGTCTCTCCCTCCGACGCTCCGCCGGAC